AATGGGTAGGGAGGAGGGAAGGAAAAGGGAGGGAGAAAGGGAGAGAAGGAGGTAGGGAGGGAGGGAGGGAGGGAGGGAGGGAGGGAGGGAGGGAGAGGGGGAGGGAGAAGGAGGGAAGGGGGAGGGAGAAGGAGGGAGGGGAGAGGGAGAAGAGTAAGGGAGCGGGAGAGGGAGAGGGGAGGATGTAAAAAGGAGACCTTAATAAAAACGTCGAGACGAAAAAATAAAAGAAAAAGGAAAAGACAGAAAATACATTTACATTCCAGCAACGAAACCCAACAAAAAAATCCCTCAAAAAAGGAGAGAAAAAAAAAAACAGAAACAAAAACAAAAGAAAAAATAAATAAATAAATACAAGCGAGAAAAACGACAGAAAAACAAAACAAGATAAAGTTTAAAATATATATATATATATATATACAAAAAGAGAGAAAAACAGGACTAAACAAAAAAACAACGAAAGAGAACCAGAGGCAGAATTGGCATCATTCCTACAAGAGGCTGACAGGAAGCGCGTATCATACCGTGAAGTCAGCCTCATTCCCGAAGCAGGACAGGGAGAAACAACAAGAAAGAAAGACGAGATAAGGAACGGAGAAATAACAAGGAAGAAAGACGAGATAAGGAACGGAGAAATAACAAGAAAGAGTGACGAAATAAGGAACGGAGAAACAGCGAGAAAGAGGTGCGAGATAAAGAACGGAGAAACAGCAAGAAAGAGGGACGAGATAAGGAACGGAGAAGCAGCAAGAAAGGGGGATGAATTAGGGGAGGAAAACACAACAAGAAAGACAGACGAAACAGGGAAGAAGTAACCAGAAAGAAGGGCAAAGTAGAGGAGGGAGAAACAAAAAAGGGGTAAAAAGTGAAGGAGAAACAAGAAAGAGGAACGAAATATGGGACAGAGAGACAAGAAAGAGGGATGAATTAGGGGGGAGGGAAACACAACAAGAAAGAAGGACGAAGTAGGGAAGGAAGAAACGACAAAAACGGGGAGGGGAAAAAAACAAGAAAGAGGGACAAAATAGAACACGGAGAAACAACAGGAAATACAGACAAAACATGGGAGGAAGTAACAACAAGAAAGAGAAATGAAATAGTGGAAAAAGAGAGACAGCGAGTAAAGAGAGAGGAAGATCGAAGAAGGGTTGGGAGAGATATCGAGAATGAAAGGCGAAGGGTGGAAGAAGAAACAAGAAAGACGGACAGGATAGAAAGGAGGGTAGGGAGAGACAAAAAGAAGGACCAAGGAGGGAGGAAAACAAAACAAGAAAACTGGAAGAACAGGTATGGCGTTGAAGAGGGGGACACGAGAGAGAGAGAGAGAGAGAGAGAGAGAGAGAGAGAGAGAGAGAGAGAGAGAGAGAGAGAGAGAGAGAGAGAGAGAGAGAGAGAGAGAGAGAGAGAGATAACAAAAACAAAAAAAGTGAGAAAGCAAAAGCGGGGTAGAAAGAGAGAGAGAGAGGGGAAAAAACACGTCACGCATCGCCAGCGCACTTCACATCCGACTTGCCAAAGACTAAAACGTATCCATAATAAATCACACTTTTTCCCGAGTTGTCCCGCCACAAATTCGTAGCTAATGATCGCCCACGGTTTGCATGGGTTATGGGGAAGGAAGGGGAGGGGGAGGGGATCGGGCAGGATGGAGAAGGGGGAGGGGAGATGGGAGGAGGACATGATGGGGAGAGGGCGGCAGGGAGATAAGGGGGAGGCTAAAGAGGAGGGGAGATGGGAGGGGGAGAGAGGGGCAGCGAGATGGAAAAGGGGGTGGGGGGAAGAGGAAAGGGAAGGGGGGATACATGGGAAGGATAAGGTAGGGGAGGAGAGGAGGGACAGATGGGGTTAGAGGGCAGAGGGAGTAAAATGGGGGGGGGGGGGGAGAAGGGAGAGAGGTAGAGAGAAAAACAGACCATAATTCAAATTAGCCCATGGATAATTACCAGGTGACGTCAGCGCGGCATAACGACCCTATCCTGGGTGACACGCGGGGATTACTGCTGCCGACTTTCATCCTTCCGTACGCACCCCCCCCCCTACACCTCCCACCCCAACGATCCCTCGTCCGTGCGAGTTCTTGTTGCTAGCGCTCACCTGGGGGGAGGAGGAGGGAGGGGAGAAAGACGGTATTGGAAGAGGAGAGAGAAAGGCAAACAGGAAGGAGAGACAAAGAGAAAGAAATAGAAAGGACACGCCGCAAGTTAGTTAGAGAAGTGATAACGGTGAAGATAACGGTAGTCATAAAACTGCGAGGAAACTCTGGAAGTGGTTTTCGAATACTTCTTGGAACAAATCCCAAATTCTAAATGCCGCCCCAAGAACAGAAAAATGCGAAACAACCTGAAAACAACGGGGAAGCGCTCGACTCTATGCTCGCCTCCGTGTCGCCATCAGTCTACCCTTAAATTACCCCACCTTCCGTTTTCTTTCAAGCGTGTCATGGGGTTCGATCACGCCGCACTAACCCTTCCCTCCTACCCTCCCCCTTCCCCCCCCCTCTCCTTCGAGTCATACTCCAACGTGGGTGACGAGATCTTCCCGTTAGTCACCCTTTAAATTATTCCTCCTTTATTACGTTCCTTCCCATCTCTCATCTTCGCCCATTCCGAACCCGCAAAACCTGCTTTTTCATACCACTCTTCCCTCTAATCCTCTCTGTTTTGTTGTATTTCCTATTCTTCTTCATCTTCCCCTCCTTTCTATTCCCGTCGATTTATCCTTTTTTTTTCATTTTCAATCCGAATCTGATCCTCAATATCCTCTCTTTCCTCTTCGCCTCTCTCATCTTCCTTCCCTTCCTCGCGTTCTTTATCTTTCCTCTTTCATTCCCTTCCCTTTCTTTCTCCATCCCCCTGTCTCTTCTTTGCCTTCCTCGTTCTCCGTCCCTTCCTCGCTTTCTTTACTCGCCTCTCCTCTTCCTTCCCCATCCCCCTATCTCCCCTTTGCCTCCGCCATCCCCCACCCCTCTCTTCGCATTCTAATCCCCTTCTCACATCTCTTTCTCCGTCCTCCTCCCTCTCCCTCACCTTCCCCGCCCTATCTTTCCCCTCCTCCCTCTCCCTCACTTCCTCGCCCTCTCCCTCCCTTCCTCCCCCTCCCTCACCCTCCCCGCCCTATCTTTCCCCTCCTCCCTCTCCCCCACTTCCTCGCCCTCTCCCTCCCTTCCTCCGCCTCCCTCACCCTCATCGCCCCATCTTTCCCCTCCTCCCTCTCCCCCACTTCCTCGCCCTCTCCCTCCCTTCCTCCGCCGAGTGATAAGGCAAGCCTGGCTGGGTCAAGACCACGAGGAAGCACAGCTGGATAATCGCAACAGCTGTTTCTGTTTATTTATTGTCTCTGCAATGACAACGCTGCACGGCCTGGAAGACCAGCAATTATAGCCGAGCCTCGGGATGCAACGGCAATATTGCATTCCAACGCCTGCAATGCGATGCGTATTGACGTCTTGCGGAACGGCGCAGGCAAATATGGTCACAAGGGGGAGAACTCGAGCCCTGATCCTCGTGCCACGACTTTCTTATTAATAACCTTAATGCAAAGCCTTAAGTGACTCAAGCCTTCGTGGTTTCAATATTGTTTCATTATTCCCAGAGCCTCTTATGGTCGCCCGCAATTCAAGTGCGATCATAATCCCTCTCCGATTCGGGCGACCTTGGCCCTTGCGTCTCGCCCCGCGCACGACTCCTCCGCCGGCCCGTTCGCGCCCTCGTGACGTGGCCGGGCACAGTCATGTCCAAGGACTCCTGAGCCACGCCGGGAAAAAAGACGGCGCAGCAGGAGCCCGCAGTTCAGGTAGCCTCGGCAGTCTGAACGGGCAGGCTGAGGCGTCTTTCCTCCTGCTCCTCCCGGGAAAGGATGCCGAGGGAGGCAGGTTGTGCGTGAGGGCCGCGAAGAGGACCCGGAGAGAAGGATGTCTCCGCGCCTCTCGAGGGGGAGGGCGAGCGAGCGGAAGAGCGAGCCTGCGCCTCGGCACCGTCCTCCAGCGGGTCATGATGAAGCTGATCAGGTTGTCGCGGCCACCTGAAGACCGCCCTGTCTTCTCCCCTCTCCTCCCTACCTGCCTACCCTCTGCCTCCCTCCTCCCTCATCCTGCACGGTTGACTGACCTTTGCAACCACGCCCTCCCCATCCACACATGCGTTCCTGCCCTCACCTGTTTCATTTTGCTCTCGCCTTCCTCACACGTGTTGCTACATTCGCTTGTTTCTCGCTCTCTTGTTTCTCGGCGAACATTTCCGCATTGTTTTTCATCTCTCTGTATATCTAAGTCTGCACTTCTATCTACCTATTTATCTATCGACCTATCTATCCACACGTCGTCTATCCGATTGTCTGCCTGTCTGCCTCCTGTCCCTCCGCCTCTGTCTGTGTCGCTCTCTCTCCCTTTCTTCTCCATTCCCTTCTTCCCCTCTTCTCTCTCTCTATCCATCCCCATCTCTTCCTCTACCTCTAATCTAATTCCCCTCTCCCCTCTCCCCTTTCCCTTCCTCCCTCTCGCCCTATCCCCTTTGCCGATCCTCCCAAATTCACCTCTGCCTTTTTCCCCCTTTCCTGCACGCACACGCACGCAAAGCCCTCTCTCCCATTACCCGGCGCGTCTGTCACTGCCACGTAGGGAGAGTAAATGGACACTTGATAAATGACTTTGAAAAAAAAAAGAGAAAGAAAAAAAATCTGCTAACCTTTCTTGCATGCCGCCAGGGGGTCACCTGAGGGCACTTAGGGTATGGGTCTTCCAAACACTAATCCTTCTTCCGGATACATCTCCCCCCCCCCACTCCTCGCCCTTACCCCCTTACCCCATCCTCCTCGTCCTCCACGAGTATGTGTCCCTCTGGATCAAATATCTCCCCACATAGAGCTAGGTCGCTATCCTGTTCAACACTTACTTTCCTTCTTCCTTCTTCTCCTCCTCCTCCTCCTCCTCCTCCTCCTCCTCCTCCTCCTCCTCCTCCTCCTCCTCCTCCTCCTCCTCCTCCTCCTCCTCCTCCTCTTGCATT